AAGTTCATGCACTAACAATCATAACAAGTAGAAGAAATAATCATAAAATCATAATTGCATAATCTCAAGAAAACGGGTTCACCATCCCCACATAGGGGTCCAACAAAATCCTAGATTAAAAGCTTAGCTACTCGTAATTCTTATGATAAACAAAATAGAATAAATAAAATAAATAAGAAAAACTATGCTTGAGTCTTCGTTGATCTTCGTTCTTCGCGTTTTTTGGTGTAAAATTTCGTACTTATGGTGTTGAGACTTGTTGCTTTTATAGGCTTTTCTTGATAAGGAAGTAGTGGAAACCTACTAGGAATTAATTTCCGCCACTTTTCCACGTCACGATTTGTTCGTCGATTTGTGCCATGTTGGAGTCCGAATTTTGGAATGTTGTAAAAATAAGAATTGTAGCCCTTGAAATTAGCTTTCCAATGCCGTCAAAATCACATAATTCGGAGTTTGTATGAGAGATATATGCTCGAAATGGTGGACACTGTCAAAGCTGTGGCGAGATTCCTTCTTGCAATTTGATTTGTTTCCTTATTTGCATATTTTTCCTTTGTTTTTGATCTTTTTTCCTTCATGGACACCTAATTCTCGTTTTTCACCTATAAAACACAAAATCAATCAATTAAAGCACAAATATAATTAAATCTAAACAAAGATCAACGTAAAGTAAACGTATTGAGTGTAATATCTTCACTCAACACTAGGCGTAGCTGGACATTGCGCGAAAACCAGGCTCTTATTTCTGCTCTTAAGGACATTGTCAGTTAAGGGTGAAAATGCGACAACGGTTTCAAAACGGGATTCCTTAATGTGTTGGAACAACAAATGAGACAGGCCCTCCCTGGTTGCGATTTGAAGGCCGACCCGCACATTGTTTCGAAAATGCACGTCTGGAAAAAAAATTACGGGACCTTGTCAACTATGCTTTCTCGTTCCGATTTTGGTTGGAACGATACTTCTGCAACGCTCGACATTGCTAATGACCAAGTGTAGGATGAGTACGTGAAGGTAATGTGAATTACCGAATTGAATAATTAATGCTATCCGTTTAATTTGTTTATAACCTTTGATGATGCATTACTTGATGTCTTGTCGGATCCGAACGCTCGCACTATACGCTACAAAGCATGGCCTTTTTACAAGGATTGGCTTGTAATCTTTGGTAAGGTTCGAGCAACCGGAGAAAATGCCGAAGCGTGTGGATGCAGCCAACGACTTGGTGCTTCAAGATCATTGTAGTCATGTGTCCGCCGGAGCGGATTATGTTCCAACCAACATAACTATCAACGATGACGGTTCCGAGTACATGTCAAGCTATCGTAATGATGGAGCAACCTCGAGCAAGGGAGAAAAGAAAATGCATAAACGCCAAAAGAAGCACGATAAAACAGATGGGCAGATGGTTAACTTGATGTCCCACTTTTTTGAGAAGGCAGAATCACGTTTGGGTGAGTTGGTGAAACGAATTGGGTTCGAGTATGATGCATCGGCCATGCGGACGAAAGTGTTTGATGCTCTGTCTCTGTCTGATGTCGTTGGTCTAACGATCGAGGAAAAAATAACTGTTGTGAAGGTGAATTGTAACTCGACAAAAAATCTGGACATCTTCTTCAACTTGACAAATGTGCACAAGGAAGTCATGGTAAGGATGATATTGGATGGTAAATTCTGAATTGATGGATGCTGGCATGCGTATTAAGTTTTTTTCCAACAAATTAAGACAATTCGGCCTTTTATGTATATATATATATATATATATATATATATATATATTTGTGAAGACTCTGTGTTTTTATTCATCCATGTTATATGTTATGTGACATATATGCAAGTTTATGTACTGTATAATTAGTAACTAGAACTATTGGTATCGGTGAATTTGTCTGCGGCTTTATGTAGTGAAACGTTTTTTGGTCTTCCGGTATATTGGTGTATTTGCCTGCTTGTTATTTTTTTATCGGCTTTATGTGGTGAAATTAATCAAATTACTAGTTTGTTCTTTTATTCAAATTGTCATGAACTGCTTAATAATTTGTAAAAACTCAATCAGACCAACAACCGACAACAATACATATTAATTCGAAGAGTTACAATTTAAACAAGGAAATTACAACCCAAAAAAAAAAAGCAAAATGAAAATAATAATTCTAGGCATTAGCAGATAGTTTATTAGGGATGATAGAAATGACT